CAGATCATCGAGCTAACGACGTTAAACAAAAGCGTTTCATGGGAGGCAACCCATTGTTTTCAATTCCATTACATTTTTTACTTTTATCTTTACTTTTTGTTTTATTTTATTTTTATTCATTCAAACATGTTTAATTTAATTTTTTTTTATTTTACATGAACCAAATATTTTTATTCGAACTTAAACGAAGAAGAATTGCAAAATTTCCATTCGATCAGTTCTAAACTCAGAACCTACAGTGCACGATCGAGCAGAAAAAAAGAAGGAGAAGCTTGTGCGCACCGTTTAATTAATGACGCACGTTAGCAGAACCCAAGGGGGAGGCTCGGCACAAGTTAGCGAAGCCCAAGTCACTTTTTTTTCAAATATTATTCTTCTGCTGCCCACCTCCCAATCCCTTCTCCCCTCCCCCTTTTCACTATGCCGTAGAGCCCACCCTATCACCTTTCATCTCCCTTTTTCAATTTTCAAACACCTTTTATATTATAATAACAAAACCCCACCTTATCCCATCAATCCATTTTTTTTCAATTTCAACATCCATTGTCCTAAAAAAAACAACACCCACTTTGAATCAAACTCAAACACCCATCCCCTCCCACGCACGACACTACCACACTTACCCCAATTAAAGCAAACTTCTTTTCTTCATCTCTCCATACCCGATCGCCTTCCCCCCAATGCATGAATAATCGCATTCTTTCTGCTCACCAACGGCGGCACCAACAAACAAATCAAGTCACTTCAACATTTTCACGAACACCCACTCCTCCCTAATCCGCTATGGTGTGCACGTAAAACCGACCCGACAACATCAACGCTCCTCCTCCCACCATCCTAGGAGGATGACACTGCTCAAACGTGTCGGCGTTTGTCGAGTTGCCGAGTGACTCTGACTCCATTCTATCACCTCCCCCGACTCAACTGATGCAAGGTCATGACCAAGTACCGATATTGTCGTATCACTCAGCATTTGCGCCGACCGCCTCTTTCCGCCCCGGGCCAAGCACGTCTCATCGTCTGTCCACTTCACGATCTCTATCTCTGTCGTTCCACTCATTACCAACCGAAGAAACATCAACTCACCCAAGACGGACGACATTCCCATTATACTTGATGCACTCGACGGATTCCGATAATGCTCCTGAAGGAAACTCTAGCCCCGTATCGATTCCACCGTTGCTAATGTTTCATCCTATCTATGGTTTTACAGAGGATTTTGCTGTCGGTTTCCCACCTCCAGATCCGTCACCTGCAACATCGAGCTCACGGTAACAACCTGACCATGCTTCAGCTCACGGCATCAAAACCGAGCCACCCACTTCTTTTCCTTCCACCGTGGCCATGGTCGACAGTAAATCCGGGGAGTATTCTATTCCTTCTTTTGCTCTTTAATTTTTTTCATTTTGAGGCAAAACGCTTTAAGTGAAGGGGAGTAGAGTGTATGATTGAATTTCCCTTTGCTTATCTTTATGTTTCGATGCTATATGTGTTGGTTGGATTTGTTGGAAACTTCATTGATTGTATTTGTCTTGTTAAATATTGTTTGGAATGCTATGCTTGTTTGGGAATACATGATTGTTTAGGTTAGGATATTCTTGATAGCAAATAGCATTAATTGAGATGAGTTGGTATTTTTGTGATATTCTATGACTTCGTTGGTTGAAATGTGATTAGCTCAATACATGAAACAATTTGGTGATATTTGAGCCTTTACGAGCATATCATTTTCGCTCTCATTTTGTTGGATTGAGTGTGTTGAATTTTGCATTGATATTCTAGAACCTGCATGTTAAATACTGTTGAGATTACACATGAACATGATGCTTAAAGATAATTTGGGCACCTTAGGATTAACCATTCTGTTCCCCCCACTAAATTGCCTACCCATGCATTTTCCCCTTAGTTAACCACTTTTGAGCTTATTCCCACTTCTTTGTTTTCACCATATTTATAAACCCCGAGCCATTTTATTTTACCCCTCTTTTCTACCTATTTCAGGGCAAGTGAATAGTTGATCCATTGTATACTCCATAAAAAAAACAGCAGTTCGAAAAAAATGTTGTTCGAAAAAAAAAGAAAAAAAAGGCATGAAAAAAATGGAAAAAGAAATAACAACAAAGAGAAAAAAAATACAGTTCAAAAAAAATTGTTGTTTGACATGTCGTCTTGTTATCTTGTTGTGCTTAATATTTTGATGGAGTTGAAATTATTATTTGTTAGTTCCTTGCCTTGAATATTTAGCCATATATTTAGTCTTTTCCCCACCTTTACCTAAGCCCCGTTACAACCAATAAAAGACCCTTGATTTATGCATCTTGTTCTTATTAGTAGTGGAGATTTGATTTACTTGCAGGCCTATGGCAATATCGTGTCAATTCTGACATTGAGCGTTTCTTACCCCCAAACACATTGAGTGATTTGAGTGAATCTCGGTAAGGCATTGAGTAATGAGCATTGAGATTGATGAATGAATGGATATTACAATTGCACTTAACTTGTTCCAATTGATGATGTTCAATTGATTGATTTCTTGACTTGAATTGTTATTGTGGTCTCTACCTTGCTTCCTCGAATGTGAAACTTGACTTTGAATGGTAAATGAAATTTTTGACTAGTTTGATTAATCATACTTGAGGACAAGCATGAGATAAGTGAGGGGGAATTTGATGAGTGTTCAAAAACTTTAATCTTTGCTCGTTATTTCTTCGATTTTGAGGAATTATTACTGCTAAATTGGTCGTGTTATGTTTGTTTTTGTACAGGTCCTTACTTTCCAGAATTAGTGACAAAACGGGCGCATTCTGCATTTTTTTATTATTTTGTCATGGTTGGAGACATGGGCACGACACGGTCTGAAGTGGCGGTTTCTAGAAGGTCCAGTCAGCGGCGGTTTCTAGAAGACTTCATCCGCACGCCTTCTGGAAGATTGACGAGCAGAGTTGCATTACGAGACTAGTTTAAGTTTGAATTTAAATTAAAAACAATTATCTTTTAGGATTATTTTATTTATTTTCTTTGTTTATTCTTTAGGCTTTGAGAGGCTATAAAGACCCACTTGGGGTAAGCCTAAACTCATCACTCAAATTACATTCTTCTTTTCTCTCTAGTTTTATCAAAGTTTTCTCTTTTTACTTTTCAAGTTTTTCCATTTTTCTTTTATTTTCAAGCTTTATTTTTAATATGCTAAGTATGAATTTTGTCATGCTTAGCTAAACTTTTCATAAGCCAAGAGCTGTCGCGATGATTCAATTCCAATGGGAGAATTGAAACGGTCCCTTAATATCTTCGGAATATCTCTCTCAATCTCTGCGCTTATTTTTCAAAATCAAAACAGTTTTCAAAATAAAAGATTGACTTTGGTCAAGAGGTTGTTGCGATTAAACATGTGGGAGGAAAATTCGGCTTATAGAAAGCAATTCGACATCCTGGGAACACACTTGGCGTTCGCAAGAGGGAATTGAGATTGGAATTGATGGTTATTGAAGCAAAAATCCGAGTCGGTCGCCACGAACTTAAACGGTAATTGATCTACGACAATTGATGTTGATAGAATCAATTCCCGAAGCCGGAATCAAAGATTACCTTGGGTATTCGGTATACAAGATAGAGTCACGGGGATAGCCCTTGTAGACAAAGTAATCGACGTGAATCCCGAAGAGAAAATCTTATTCGATGATCTAAAGGAAAAGCTTGAGGCGATTTTATCGTATTTATTCACAATCTTCATCATCCTATTTTTACTTTAATTGCTTTAATTTATTTAATCATTTTTACCATTTAAATCTCATATTGCAAACCCCCCATTTTACTATTTTTCGCATGGTTAAAAACCATTCAATCATAAATTTGTGATTTTCTAAGTCCATGAGGATTCAACCCTTATTTCTCTATACTACGTATTTCCTTATTTATTAATTGAGAAAAAGGAATTTATTTTGACATCGAAAAAGACAGTTGTCAATGGTTCATAAGGAGATTTATATGTGGTCCTTATGGATATTTTATATAGCACTTTGGTACATTTCTACGCGGCACTTCGGTGAAATTCTACGTGGCACTTCGGTGCATTTATACGAGTTGTGGTGACAATATTTGTGCACAACCTCAATGTACTCACATACCTTAGGTTCTCAGTATTGTATCATGGGCTAATGAAATAATTAATATGAATTCATAATTGTTACTTTGATAAGCTTATGTGTGGAATGCATTTATTATATAGTTACATTGAATGGATGTATGAATGCATTGTACTCCATTTTATTATAGTATTGTTACATATTATGCCTCAGTAAGTTGATGACTTAGCGTGTGAGTGTTTCACACATAGGATCCCAAGAAGTAGACGGGCAAGGATAGGCAGCTGGGATAGAATGACTCCTGCGGATATCAGATCAGAAGCAACTTAAACAGTAGGTTATTTTGTTAGGAAAAGTAATGTTGGGATGTAATCAAAAGTTTAAGTTGTATATGCTCTGATTATTTTTGTAAGTTTTTGTATTAAACCGATGTATATTATGGGATTTCTTAATACAAGTTAAATTCACTACTATTTTGTATAAGTATTTTGTTATTAAAATGTAATGTGACATCTCGGACGCATATCTGGATTGCGTACAGGTTGGAGGTGTTATATTTAATGGTATCAGATCTATGTTTTAGTCGATTCTAGGCATAAACCAGAGTCTAGAGTGTCTTTAAAAGTATATGTGCCAACAAATAATAAGAACTTCTGATCTGATATAGTAATGAGTATGCTACCTTGCTAATAGAATTATCTTGTTATGTTTTACTATATGTCCGGACAAAATAGCTCCCGAAGTGAAGCAGGAGAAAATAGGCCATTTGAGAGTAGTAATTTACCCGCCCTAGCCAGGCAAGGTGAAGAACAGGCACCTCAGGGAGTGCCTGTGCAAGATTAGGATACTTTCTTTAGGACGTTGGACGATATTCTGACGTGTCTCCAACCTCCTGCTCTATCAACCCAAAGAATGAATATGGCAAAAGAGTTAAGAGGATTGGGAGCTTTCGAATTTAAGGGAGAAGTCGAGGAAGGTCTGGTTGCGGCGAATCTTTGGCTTAATGATTTGAAGATCATATTGGATAGTCTCCACTGCTCTGAAGTGGAGAAGTTGGATGCAGGTGTTTCTTTGCTTAGGGGGCAAGCTACGATATGGTGGACGAATGTCACCATAAGCTTGGCGAGTGGTCAAGTGAATTGGTCTCTATTCTTGGAAGATATTAAGCACAAGTATATTGGAGATCAGTTTATCAGGAAAATAAAGAAGGAGTTTATGAACTTGAAGCAGATGAATCGCACCGTATATGAATATGAATGTGAGTTCAATAAGTTGAGTCGGTTTGCAGGTGAGCTTATTCCTACAGAAAAAGACGCTTATGAATGGTTTATAGAGGGCTTGTGCCCTAGATTACGAGATGTTGATAGTATTTAATCAATCCTCATTCCAGGAAGTGATTAATCGTGCTAAAGCTCTTGAGAGAGCTCAGAATGAAAGGTTTAGGGATTAAAGAGTTCATACATCTAAGAGAATCGGTGTTTCTTCAAGCTTAGCACCATAAAAAAGGGAAAAGATTCGGGATTCCGACCTCAAGCTAGATTTAAATCAGTTGCATCCTCTGCTAGAGGATCAAGTCAGATGAGAGCGAGACAGACCCATTCAGTGGGATCTCGTGGTTGGAGATCAAATCAGGGTCAATCAAGACAATGTCAGCATTGAGGGAAGAATCATTTTGGGATGTTTCGGATGGCCTCCGGAGCTTGTTTCTGATGTGGAGATGCCGGACATTTTATATGGGATTGTCCATTGATTACTGGTGAATCTGCACCATCTGAGAGAATTGCTTCTGCATCGCAAAGAGGAAGAGTTAGAGGAAGAAACCAGTCTGAATCCTCTGTGCAGCCTGAGATACGCTCAACTGCTAGAGTGTATAATTTAAAAACAAGTGAAGACTGTGATGATCCAAATATTATAGCAGGTACCTTCCAGATATTTGATAAATTGGTGTTGGTATTGATTGATACGGGTTCCACTTATTCCTATGTTAGTAGTAAATTAGTAAAAGAATTGAGAATTCCATTAGAAACTACGAGTAATGAAGTGATAATAACTAATCCTTTAGGACATAGTACTTGGGTAAATAAATTTTGTAAGGGTAACTCTAAGAAGTTCAGAAGGATCAGAGGTGAATGTGATCGGTGAAAGATTTAATCCTTTAGCAAATGTAATATCGGTGATTTCAGCAAGGAAATTGTTGCTACAAGGATGTCAGGGTTTTCTTGCAAATGTGATTGATAACATAGTTAAAGAAAAAGGTTTAGATGAAATTCTGATAGTCAGAGAGTTTCCTGATGTATTTCCTTTGGAGTTACCAGGATTACCTCTAGATAGAGAGGTAGAATTTCAAATCGACATGATGTCGGGAACAACTCCTATTACAATGGCACCTTATCGTATGGCTCCGAAAGAATTACAAGAGTTGAAAAGTTAGTTGCAAGAATTATTAGAGAAGGGATTTATAAGACCAAGTGTTTCACCTTGGGGAGCTCCAGTATTGTTTGTTAAGAAGAAAGATGGTTCAATGCATCTTTGCACTGATTATCGACAGCTCTATAAGGTGATCATCGAGAACAAGTATCCCCTCCCAAGAATTGATGACTTGTTTGATCAATTAAAGGGAGTTTCGGTATTCTCTAAGATCAATTTACATTCTTTTTATAATCAACTGAAGATTCACGAAAATGATATTCTGAAGACAATTTTTAGAACAAGATATGGTCACTACGAATTTATCATAAATTCATTTGCAGTAACTAATGCACCTCCTACTTTTATGGATCTCATGAATAGGATATTTCAACCTTATCTAGATCAGTTTGTAGTTGTCTTTATTGATTACATATTGGTGTACTCGAAGTCTAGTGAAGAACATAGTGCCCATCTGAGGATAATTTTGCAAACTGTAAGAGATAAGAAGCTTTATGCCAAATTATCTAAATGTGAGTTTTGGCTAAATTAAGTAATTTTCCTGGGCATGTGATCTCTGCAGATGGGATTTAGGTGGATCGTCAAAAGATAAAAGCTATTCTGGATTGGGAGGTTCCAAAGAATGTGTCTCAAGTTCAGAGTTTCCTTGGGCTTACAGGTTATTATCGAAGATTTGTTAAGAATTTTTAGATGATAGTTTTACCTTTAACCAAATTGATGAGAAAGAATGTACTATTTTTTTGGACTCCCGAATGTCAAGAAAGTTTTAAAGCGTTAAAGAGAATTTTGACAGAAGCTCCGATATTGGTCCAACCTAAATCTAGTGAGAATTTTATGGTTTACAGTGGCGCGTCCTATAATGGATTGGGATGTGTGTTAATGCAAGAAAGAAAAGTGGTAGCGTACGCATTGAGGCAATTGAAACCCCATGAAAACAATTATCCAACTCATGATTTGGAAATGGCTGCAGTGGTGTTCACTCTCAAGATTTGGCATCACTACTTATATGGATAACGTTGTTATCTTTATACGAACCATAAAAGCTTGAAGTATCAGATGACTCAAAAAAATTAAATTTGAGGCAAAGAATATGGGTGGAGTTCTTAAAGGATTATGATGTAATAATTGATTTTCAACTTGGAAAAGCTAATGTGGTAACATATTCTTTAAGTAGAAAAACGTTTGTAGCCTTACGAGCTGTGGACTCCAGGTTATCGTCAACTAGAGATGGTAGACTATGTGCAGAATTAAAACTTAAACCAGCATGGTTGGATCGAATTGGAGAATTAGAAAATAAAGATGACATGTGTTTGAAAAGATTAGAGCAATTAAATAATGAAGGGAATGAGGATTTTGAGATTAAGTCTGATGGGAATTTGTACTATAAGGGAAGAGTGGTGATTCCAGATGATGAGGAATTGAAGAAATATATTTTAGCAGAGGCTCACTACAGTCCATTGGCGATACACCCAGCTGGAAATAAGATTTATATTGATTTGAAGGATCGATATTGGTGGCCAGGGATGAAAAGAAGTATCACCGAATTTGTGTCTAAGTGTTTAACATGTCAACAAGTAAAAGCCGAGCATCAAGTTCTGCCAGGATTATTGCAACCACTTTCAATTCTTCAATGGAATTGGGAAAATGTGACGATGGATTTTGTTTCGGGGTTACCTTTGACTCCAAATAAAAGAGATTCAATTTGGGTAATTGGTGATCGTTTGACTAAGTCAGCACATTTCCTTTCTGTCAGAACTGATTTCTCTATGGAAAAGCATTTGAGTTGTATATTATAGAAATTATTAGATTACATGGAGTGCCTGTTTCCATAGTTTCTGACCGAGATCCTCGATTCACCTTGAGATTTTGGAAATCTTTGCATGGAGCATTGGAAACTCAACTGAACTTTAGTACAACTTTTCACCCTCAGATGACAGAAAATCAGAGCGGACTATTCAAATATTGGAGGATATGTTGAGAACATGTATAATTGAATTCAAAGGGTCATGGGAGAAGTATTTACCACTGGCGTAGTTTGCTTACAATAATAGTTATCATTCCAATATTAAAATGGCACCCTATGGGGCGTTATATGGGAGGAAATGTCGTACGCCATTAAACTGGTATGAGCTTAAAATCGAAATATTCTTGGTAGGATTTGATTCAAGATTTGGAAGAAAAAGTTCAGGAAATTCAGCATAATCTCAAATTGGCATTTGATCGGTAAAAGTCTTATTCTGATCTTAAAAAAAAGAAATTGAATTCGAAGTTGGAGATAAAGTTTTCCTGAAGGTATCTCCCTGGAAGAAAGTATTAAGGTTTGGTTGGAAAGGAAAACTGAGTCCTAGATTCATTAGGTCATACGAGGTTGTTAAGTGGATAGGACCAGTGACATATCAGTTATCTTTGCCACCGAAATAGAGAAAATTCATAATGTTTTCCATGTATCCATGTTGCGGGGATATAGGTATGATCCCTCTCATATCATTGCATGGGAACAAATTGAAGTTCAACCTGATTTGACTTATGCGGAGAAACCAGTGCGAATATTAGCTTATGAAGTCAAGCAGTTAAGAAATAAAAAAATTCCATTGGTTAAAGTTTTATGGAGGAATCATAAAGTAGAGGAAGCAACGTGGGAACGTGAAGAAGATATGCGTGATCAATACCCTCATCTCTTCATGCAATGAAAATTAGAGGACGAATATTTTTTAGGGGGGAGATTTATAACATCCCAAACATCGGGTTAGTGACCAAATTATGAGATTTTAGAATTTGTGACTAATTTAGATAAATTGAAAAGTTTAGGGTTTTAATTGAAATTTTTTATAGTATGATTTAGCAAAAGAATGAGGAATAAAGGGGCAAATGGGTCATTAAAGAAGAGAAATAATTAAAAATTTGTTGTGGTTATTTTATAACCACGTGCCATATACTTAAGGAAAATGAAAGTTTCCAGATATTTCTTCAACCTTCTTCTTCTTCAGCCGTGAAGCTCCATAAGTTATGGTGAGTAAATTTGAAGAAGAGAACTATAGGTGAGTGCATATTTATAGAATGATTATAATATGATATGGAAATTAGACTTATGATAAGTCTAGTTCCAACACAGGTAAACATGATTGCATTACATGATAAGATACATTACATGAACTCCTATGATATGCATTATATGTCAATGATTTATGTGAATATGTATGAGAAGTTTACATAAGTGATGTGATAAAAAGTAAGAAATTATATGTCTATGAGATATAAATTATGTGAATTTTAAAAAGCCCATGTTATGTAGATGAGAGATATAGATATAATTGGCATGCCAAGAGTCGAGGGTCTACATGGTCCTTCGGGACATATGTAATCCTTTGGAACATTTATGTGGTCCTTTGAGACACATATTTGGTCATTTGGAATATGTATATGGTTCTTAAGGAGATTTATATGTGGTCCTTATGGACATTTTGTTGGGACCGTCGGCGCACCCCATAACGCAACGGAAACAAAACTCGACGGTCTCACCAGCGATCTAAGTATGTAAAACCGAAATCAGCATGAAGGGATGCGAATTCTTACAACTGGTTCCTTGAAAAACAGTAAGAACAGCAGTGAATATAGGTGGTGTAGATCAGTTCGAATCGTAAGCATACACAAAATCACATCTCGGCCTCAACTCAGTTAACCCGATTGAGAGCAATATTTGTTTTCCCCAAACCTATTTTTGAGAGAAAAATGGCTAAAGCTTTTTGTGTGTGTTTTTTAAAAACGACTGCTAGACCTAACACACCCTTTTATATCCATTACCCTAACATCTTAGGGTTTTTAAAGTTATTTCGAATTAATAAATAAAATATTATTTAATTAATTCAATTAAATATACATTAAAGACTTATAATCGGAATTATAATCTTCAAAGGTTATTTAAAAAAAACTTATTTAATTATTCCGAATTATATATACAAATTAAAAGAGTTGTAATCTAAATTATATTCTTTTAATGCTTACTTACTATATTCGGGATAATTAAAATCATATGTATATCAAATATACATATCTTAACTCTAGATATATTTTAGTAACATACAACAAATTGTACAATTTTGCTCATTTCAATCATAGGGTGAGACCCTATAGGTTTTTGTAACGTTAGTAGTAATTATTAGAAATATTCTAATATTACATACAATGAGTGACATCTAGCAATATATCATTGTAACCTAAGTTACAAGAAATTATGATTCGACATATCATCTTCGTGATTAACTCTTTTATGTATTACATCTTTTTGTTCTTTATATCTTGAATAGACACAAGTCTTAGAATAGTCACACTTGTATAGCTCATCTATTGTTTCTTGATATTTATAGTAGACTATAATTAACGAATAATTTATGATATCACATATCAGCATATTCAAGCATGGCCATGCATTTCTAGTCTCACTCAATAAAGTGGCCTGTGATATATTTCCTATTATGTAGGAAGGACAAATCCTATCTTAACCATATACACCTCACTACATAAATTGAGATATATTCAATAACAGTCTTTATAGTGCAACCAGTTACGGAGCATGTTTAACTGTATCAAAACATACAACGATATATGTTGGGTTGACATTGATCTCAAGTCTGAGGATCATACATATAGTCATCACCATGAGCAATGTTATGTCTGTTACATAACAATCCAAGATATATGCTCATGATGGGTCAATCCAATACATTGTTCTCTAACAATATAATCATATATCAATTCTGACATCTCTATGTCAATGACAACTCCTTGTCATCAATCAATAACATGTTAGTCTTAAGCATATTATTATTTTCCATGCCCATAATAATTCTTGACTATGGATCTTTTAATAATGTTATTATATGGACTTTATTATCTTTCAGTTTATGGTAAACACAGACACATAACTGAAAATAATAGTGGCAATGCATTTATTCAATAAAATCGATAAATAAATATATTATTATAATCATCATATGATTAGTCTTT